ATAACGAATGGCCTGGCATATTGTTATCTGTGAAATGTTCTTTTGGGTCTGCGTTATCCAGTGAGAAGAGTCATTCTTCGTTCTCCTGCTCTTTAATTACGAAATGATGTTCAACCTTGCGTTGAGAGCTCGGGTTCTCAACTATTGCACTATTGCAGTAGGTGTCCGTGCAGCATCCATGCGGCATCCAGCGGTGCCGCCCCGGTGCAGGAAGCGTAAATGAAAGTTCGGAGTGGTTCTCCCAGCCACACTCTTAACCTCAGCCGCAGCACAGGAGTTGCCAACACGCCCCCGTGTCTCCATCCTTCCAGATTGCATCATTCCATTGCCTCTCCCTTCTGTCCCTCCCATCTGTGCCTCAGCACGGCTCGAGCACCAACGCATCCGTTCCAGGACCTGATGCTGCCGCCATTAAGAGTGATCTCAGTCAGCTTGCTGGCCATGGTGGAGAGTTCCGGACAGATGCAGACCTCGTCCCGTCCCCCCCCCCCAAAAAAAAAATCATTCGTGGGAGGTGTGTGGGTGAACACAAACACCATCCCTGAGCATCCAGGGGGGGCAAATCAGACTAAGGTTCTGATTGCTTCCATTCCTGGCAACCAGTTATTATATGGACTGTTCTGAGTCATCATGGTATTAAGCCTCAGCCAGGTTGCTTTGGACCCCCCCTGCTGGCCCCCCAGCCCAGAGACAGGGGAAGCGCAGTCCAGCATGTGTCACTGGACACACCAGCAAGTACTGGACCGTATCATTTTACAGTATTTACAGTACAGTATGACAGGGCAAACAAATCAAATTGTGGTTTATTTGAAGAGTATTGTCAGAAATAATAACTCAAAGACATGAGGAGAGACTGATTTTAGGTTAACCTTTGGGGAATAAGGCGAGTGAATGGGCATTATTTGATCATTCAGTATAATATAAACAGTAGTTCTCAAAATTCTGCTTTTTTTACTCTTGTAAAATCCAGGCTTGAGAGTTATTACAAGTTTAATATACTTTACAGAAGCAGCATATAGAATTTAAGTTCCCCAGTCAAAAGCTAATTTATTAAATCTCTGAAGGTTTAATGGCCTAGTAGCCGTTTATGTCTAAATAGTACTTTGGTTTTCTCTGTTGAAAAGCATTCCATCATTCATTGGTTCTAGCATTATGGTGGCATCCTAAAACTTTATATATTTTATTTACAAAGGCATGTGCAATGCTGTATTACACCAGCTTTTGGTAGAGATCAGTAACTCTGGAAGTCATGCAATATGAGCAACAAAAATGCTATTTATTTTCAGAAAGGAAATATGCTATGTAGTGATAAGTGTGTGTGTGAGAGAGTGAGAGAGAGAGAGATTGTGAGTGAGTGAGTGATGTGTGTATAACATTTTCCCGATGATGTGATAAAAACCTGTTATTTTGATGTTGTGGGGACCACCTTTTCAGTCCCTGCAAAGAGAAATTCAATTTAATAAAAATCTGTGACTGCAGTTGAAAAACTAAAATAGCCAAGAGTCTTGTATTTTGTTTGGTTACTTGTGGTTAAGGTGAGTGCAGGGTAGGGTTAAGGTCCTCATTGTTGGAATTAGAGTTTTTCCCATAAAAATGAAAGGAGAGTCCCCATAATTATGTGAATGCAAACGAGTGTGTGTGTGTCTGTGTGTGTGTGTGTGTGTGTTTTCTTTTAGTAATTCTTGTACTTCCAGTGTTGTCAGCTATGGTTAGCTGGCTAGCCTGTTGCTATTTATGGATGCGCATACATATATGCATCCTCATTTTACTTATATTTTACTTATCCCTTGTGAAAATAGATGACTAAACCATATTTGAATTGAAGATATTTTGCAATAAATGGCGAAATGGGAAATAGCTGTTCTCTGGTGTACTTCCTCGTGCATCTAGCCAGGCCTCCCTAAAGCCTATTATTGTTATTTTGGCTGAGCTTGCGGGTATGAATTACATATGATGCAAGGCCTTATTAAAAATAGTTCTATCTGCCGTTAGCCTGGTAGAAAAGCCACACTTATTAATAGTGTATTCACAGCTGACAAGACACTTGTAGGATGAACCAGTTAGAACCGGCCATTAAATAATAAGCTTGACAAATGTGACGTGTGGCGTGGCACAGTCCAAAAATAAATTAATTTTAATGTCCTCTCATTTCCTTGCTTAACTGCTTCTTAGATTTCAAGGCATTCTAAAAGTAATTAAAATGTGGTTTTGAGTGTCAGCCAGTTCACATTGTAAACTTGTGATTGGTGTGAATGGATTTTATTTTGGTGCATATGCGATTTGGAATCCACTTGTATGATACAAATGACCACGATACTTTTAATAATTGATCTTGATTTTACTTAAACCTGTTTTGCTTCTGCCTGGTATGTATTGAGACAGCTATGTAAAATGACATCTGTTGTTGAGTTTCAGAATACTAGGCATGTGAGGTATGAAAGTAATCTGTGTTTGATTTTATATAGTGGGATTTATTCTCTGTACTTGAAATATTTCATTTAAATTATTCAAGCATTGACATTTATTGCAAAGATGGGTATATTGTAGAACACTAGTGCTGTTCTAGGCAATAATTTTTTTTGATGGTAATTCTCTCATTTTCAAAGTCACTACCCTTTATGGTATTAGGTTACACTCTTGAAAAGGGTATGACAAGGTACTTGAACAGGGTAGTCTAATACAGGTTCATTAGGAGTTCAGCACCTGCCCGTTATACTTAAAGCTCAGTTCCACATAGCTTACTTTAACAAAGGTTTTTAAATATTATTTAATATGCTCTTGCCCACATTGCATCCCATTTGTTTTTTTTTTTTCTGTGGGTGACAGTTTTCCCCGTGTTTCCAGGGCTTGGAGGATTAATGTTATCGCGTTGGGGAAAACAGACTATCCAACTGCGCACATGGTATGAATAGATATGAATAAGAAAAGGAGAGAAAGACTCAGAAAGAGACTAAAATGACCTGCTGAAGATGGTGAATTTTCAATTATGTTAACGTCCTGGCAGCTGCACCGAATACTGGAAGGTCATGAGTTACCAGCCTGCACCATGTATCTGCATACAAACTGCTACTTTTACCGCACATTATGTAGCACAGTGCAAGAACCGTGAGGTCACATACAATCCCCACCTAATCAGTTATGCATCCTTGCATGTCGATTAAATAAAGTTTTTCATCGCAGATATGAATCTTATGATTTGTTAAGCAGTTGTGTAGGTTTACTGTTATAGAAGAGCGTAACATAGTATATAAGAGTGCAGTATATAGTACAGAAGTATAAGTACTATAGAATAGTATATAAGAGTGCAGTATTTAGCAGCTGTAGTTATATACTGCCTTATATATTTCATACAGTGCGGCTGTTTATTGCCACATCTGCTGTACTTCTTTGGAAGCATTCACTAAAGCCCTTTAAAGGATGTAATTTCATTTTCACACTTTTTAATCTCATAAGCATAAAATAAAATGAGAAGCTGTTGCTCTCATCTGTAGATTAATACCCCGTGGCTGGCATGAACTCTCTGTCTTTCCTTTTTTCATTAGTGTTATAGTGCAAATAATCAAATATATACTGTGCTTGATTCTTTTCTTCTGTCAGCAAGTTAAGTTAGACACCTTATCATCTATTGTGCAGTTATTAATCTGCGTGATACTGAATGAATAATCGCGATTTAAAAACTTGGACGTTTCTGTTCATCTTAGCTTTAAGGCTTACGTGATTGTTTAATGCAGACTAGATGGCAAATCATTACTTGATGGCGTGACATGAGAGGCAGTGCTGTCAGAATCGAGGAGGGGGAGGGGGGAGGGGTGCCCAAGGCTCAACACAATGAGCCTGACAACTGTTTTCATGAATAAATCAGAGGGGATACTCACAAAGGGAGATTAAGTATTAGAAAAAAACTGAATCTAGACCACCCCCCGAACAGCAGCACCTCTAGGGGGTGGTCTTCGGGTCTTCTAGGTTCCTGTGTGATAGGGAGGTCCTCTCTCAAATCCAGATTAGGGCACTCTCAGCTCTCTTTGGGTTGAGCGAGGATATTGGGAAGGGGCTTGGATGACAGCAGGTAAAGTCGAATATGTTTGGGGGGGAGGGGATTAGGTTTATAACAAAAATAGTTATAGTATTACTCGGATTTGTGTATTATTTTTGTGTTTTTGCTGTTTTCAAGATAATTGCTATTCCGTTTCTCCAGGAGGTAGACAATAAGAAAGGCACAGAGAATTAAACATAATGTGGTTCTGCAGAAGGACATTTGCAACAGTTGGCAGATTAGCACTCAACCACACTAGATTTTTTTGTTACCGGACTTCATGGAAGTCTTGCGGTCTGTTTTAATTTCCTTACCTAAATTCCTCCCTATAGTCTCAAGGGCCCCACTCCCTAAGAGTTCTCAAACATATAGCAGTCTCTTAAAATTTGCTTCAGGTGAACTTAAGAGTGAGAGGGGAATTGCCCTCTCTCGGGTAGTTTGGGGCACAGTCATGCACGATTGCTGAAGTGATGTCACAGGGGGCAGTGGAATTAAGCGGTTTTATTTAGACTGTAATCTCTTATTTCAATTGCCAGAGTGAGTAAAATGTCCCAGAGTAGGAAGGGATAAACTCTCTGGATTAAGCCCAGCCTCCACCCTCTCCTCCATCCCCTCATGTCCCTCTCCTACGTCGTACTTGTCTGATGTATGGCATTAGCAGGGAGCCCATCACTGGGGACACAATGGCGTGGTAAGGCTGGCTTAACGAGGTGTGTTGCGTGTTAGTGTTTGCGGTGTCCCTTTCATTCCTCACCATCTACTTATATTTCCAGAGATTAATTATTTAGTTCTCGGTGGTTGTAAGGGGAGGCACTTGATAGGGAGAAAAAAATTACAACTGGAGATCAGGTGAAAACGATACCTTCTGCTTTGCCTTTTCCCCTCTCCTTCCCATTCTTCTGATGCGACTGTAACAGAAGACTTGAAAGAGAACACCTTGCTTTTTTCCCTTCTTTAAAGCTGTCGTCTTATTTTCTGCCCAATGCATGCTTCCAGCAGGCAGTTAAGTGATGGTCGCTCTCAGAGCTGGGACACGTTCGGTGGTAATGAGGGGCGGGGGGACAGGGAGAGCAGCTACGACCACGGCGGCAGGATTCCGGGGAGGAGGAACTCGCTAACATACGGGGGTGACGGGGGAGGGTGGTACGAGGCACTCCCCGGAGTACGTCCCCCCGATCTGGATCTGAAACGAGAGCCCTGCTCGTACCAGGGCTTCCCTGACAGGTTTGAGCAGCGTCCCTTGCGGAAGAATTCAGTCCCCGAGCTGAACAGCCACTACGACAGGCAAGCTATGGCTTCCCGAAACTCCCTCCCGCCTCTGGACTACAACCAGCATGACCCTGCTCTGGGCACCCGGCAACTAGAAGACCCCCGGGGCTATTACCGAGGAGAGCTGCAACCGCTTAGCAGATCAGCCCCGCATTATGGGCTGGTTAGCGGGGCCCGGTCCTCATGGGATCAAGGTCTGGGACGACCCCCTCCAACCGCTTGTCCTTTTCCTCCCCCTGTGGCTCATGAGATGAGCCGTATTTACAAGGACCCTACTACTGGCAAGATGATGCCAGATGGTCAGAGAATACCTGGAAGAGATGCTTCTCCAGGGCGCTATGGGCTCGAGGCAACTTCACCCAGGTATGCGACTGAGCCCCTTCCTTCTGTTCGCTCCATCTATAGTGACCTCAATGGCTGCCCCCTTGTCCCCCGTCAAGTTTCAGCTACCTGCTTGATGGTAGATCCAACTTCTCAGGGAATGGATGGAACAGTAAATCGTGGAATGGTACAGCATCAGGAGAGTCCTTCAACTTTTATCTCTATGGCGGCACAGAAGGTACCGTATGACCCTGGGTTTGACCCTAATGTCCCGGTTGCTGCTGCTGGAAACACGCCCATATGTGCCTTACCGCAGCCTCAGACAGCAGTAGTGGGGACTCCTGCAATGATAGATCCCAGGAAGAATGTAGACCCAGAGTTCCTGGCATTCCTGCGCAGGGAAGGCATCTCTGAAAGCACCATCGCGTTGCTGCTTCAGCAAGGCTTCGACTCCCCCAGCATGCTGGCTGTCATGGAAGAGAATGACATACGGTCTGTGGCACCCAACTTGGGGCAGGCTAGGGTACTTTCCCGAATTGCCCTCAGTTGCAAACGCCCTCTTGAGGCTACCATGAACTCGGCACAGGGTGCAGTGCGGGCACGCTCCAACAGCTTCAGTCACCGCAATGACGTCTACTTGCAACAGCAGACCCTGGACCCCAGTGTCATGCCTCTGCCTCCCCACACCCTGCAGCCCATCTCGGGCCGGATGGGGGAGATGATGGGTAGAAGGCCCAACAGTGCTCCTTCTCAGCATCTCCTGGAAACTACCTCCTACCCTGGCGCTTCACCTGGATGCTACCCAAATGGAACAGGGGGGTCCCCCAACGCCATGCCCCAAACCCGGTCAATATCAGCGTATGCTGGCCAACCAGCAGCTGCAGTGTCCGCCTTGACACCCATGAATGCCGTACCACCACAGCCACTGGCTGCTGCGTCTGCCGCACCGCCCAAGGTTTACTCCACCACCTACACGGTGCCCATGGAGCTGATGAAGAGGGACCGCACCATGCTGCCCATGTCCACCTTACAAAATCTTCAGGCAAGCCCCCAGATGATGCGCAAGGTTGGATCTCAGGCGGAGAACTCTCTGCTGACTTCAGGAACTAACCTCCAGACGCAGAGCACCGGCATCCCCAACCAGAAGCTGAGCCGTCGGACCGGGCCGCCTGTTATCGTCTCCACCATGGCATCGCCTGATTCAAGTAACCCTATATACAGTTCTTCCTCACCTTGCTCCATTCTGTGGCAGTGGCCGTCCTGTCGTTTGTTCTGTGCGAATGTTTCATCATGTCTGGTTGTACTTTTCCTGTCCTTGTGTCTCTATCCCAATGCAAAAACTTTGGAATTGAATGGTTGTATATGAAGCAAAAGGAATACTAATCCTATAGTCATACCAGATTGGTAATATTTGGTAATGCAGGAGTATATCATAGTATTAATTAGTAATTTCACACGGGTATAAAACACTTGAGCAGTCTTTTCATTTTTATAGATTTTTTTTATTTAGTGCAGCTGTGTTTGACTTTTCTCTTATCATAATTCCCCGTTTTTTGTGTGCTTTGTGCTTTTCCTACTGCTTTCCCCCCCCCCTATAGCTGGGCTATAAACCTGGACATACTACAGAAAAGGGGAGTTAATTAGCAATCGCTAAGATTACCTCTTTCGGAATTCCTTTGTACCGCGTTAAAGACGAGTGCATTCCTCAGGCCGCTGACAGGGCCGTTATTAAAAATGCAGGAGGCTGATATGTGAGGTCATTCCTCTGAGAGGGCAGCCAGTTGGTTACATGCATAGTGAGATGCTTTCGGTGCTGGTTCTGCAGTCTTGTATCGGTGTGTGAAGGCAGAAATTGAGCTTTTGATTCCCCTAAACTGCAAAAAGAGAGCAGGTGATCCCTGTCATTCTCTATCAGAGCAGGGTGTCATTTTACTCTGTTCCGATATTGGAATTTTCTTCTGTTTTTTTTCCTCCCCCAAATAAACTGTCAGGGGAAAAAAAAAAAAAAGATCTTAGACTCAAGGGAATCGTCAAAGCACATCTTTTACAGTCAGGACCACTTTATATCTCACAGGATGGATGGCAGTAAATTGAATGAACAAGTGCGCTTAGAAGATAGTTTAATATTTACCAATTAGTTTCCTATTATTGTTCGACGTGCTCCATGCCAGCCTGGCAGCTGTAACAAAAAGACGGTGTCACACCATTTTGCTACACTGCTGTAAACGTGACAATGGCTTTGCAAGTAGCTGACTGCCTTTTAGCAGTTGCCATTCTGTAATGACACTTCTGCATGTTATAGATAGGGCAGAGTAATGTAATACTTAGGCACTGCAGCAATAGTCTGCTACATTAGTCAGTTAATACTCCACTACCACTGGAAGTTAATATATGGGCTTATAGCCTATAATCTTAGATTGCTGTATTTTTTTTTTTGTTACCTTCAATATCTTTCCAATGAGACTTATTTACAATACAACAACATGCATGTATTACTGAATACCGAGCAATTTATAAAACGTTTTCATCGGTCGTCTTTTCCTCTGACAAGAAAAAGGATCTCAGTTCTTTACCTTTTTTGTTCTTTAGTCATTAATGGTGCAGTTTCCTGTAGCCCGTGAGAATCCTGTCACATGCTAATAGGTTCAAGGCGACTTCTCATATTCTGAGAGAGTGGTGGTGGATTTCATTAAACAATTTCCTCTTGTCGACAGGCTTGTGCGGTATCAGACACTTTGCCAAGGTTTGAAGAGGATTTTGAAAGTGTCCTTGTGAGAGCTGCCTCCCCCACAAATCCACAGCAGATCTCTCTTCTCCTAGGCCGTCTGCAGCGATTACCTCAAGTCAAACATTTTTCCAGGACAACAAACTCATTTGCATGGGCTGACGTTCGTTGCTCCAGTAATTTCATCTGTTAATGGACGGCCCACAAAGCCGATCTCGGAGCATGTTTCTTAATTGTGTGTTGCTAGGCAACCTGGGTTTTGGTCGTAATCACAGAAAGATTATCTTAGTATTCAAGTAACAGCAAAGGGTTTTCATGAAGTGGGGACCTGTGGAAAATTGCTTTTGAATTTGCATTTATGTTTTGTTAAAATAGCTTAAGCTTTGGAAGGCAGAAGTAAAAGAGAATTGTGTGCTTTATTTACACAATATGTTGATCTTTAAGTAGTTTTTTTTTCACTGCTAAACCCTGATAAAGTTTATAACTCGGGTCATCAGTCATCTTTCAGATAGAAATATTAAGATATTTGTATTTATTGCATTAAACTAGCATGCTTTTTGTGATTTCTAATTTTAGGTTGGCATGCAGAGATTTACTGCTGTGCTGTTGAGCTGATTGAAATGTTAGTTAGGATTGCCATGAGTGTAATATTTCCAACACAGAAACACATAGTACTGCAAGGGTGGCCAGCTAATATAAAAGGCCCCTCTACAAGGGCCTTCGCCTCTGTGTTAGCTAATGCCATAAGCAGCTCATTAATAATGCTGTTACTTGGCCAAGTCTGAGGTTTCGGAATGCAGTTCCCGGCATCTCATAGCGGCAAGGAAAAAAGCGCCACGGCTATGGATGAGTCTAGCATCCAACGTGGAAGCATAGCAGGTCAGTGTCACATTGAACTTGGGCTACATTTTACTCCATGGATGTTAATAGCCAAGTTGCGTACATAAGGGATAGGGTTCCAATTAGCTGTCATTGCTACTTGGGGCTCTCGAAGACATCAACAGAAGTGCCCATGACAACTGTAGAGGTTGCTCATCCAGGGGGGAGGGGGAGTGTTTAATCTCCCTGTTTGGACAGAATGAGGGAGCGTGCTGGGTTGTGTTCTCCGGGGGAAGGTCTTGCTGTGCCGGCCACTTGCATAACCTTTTAGTGAACCACGCCGAAGCATGCCTTCGACGATATGCATTCACCCCGCTGTTTACATGAGGGGCCATTCAAGAGCATGTCCACAGTTTACGCTTCGACGTCCTTGGTCCCTCGTTCATAGACATGTGACATCATATGAAAACGTTCCGTGGTTCTGATAGGGCCAGCACGCGGCTCAGCGAGGTAGCGCCTCACAGCTTCAAGGTCGTAGATTATAGCTTATGAGTATTTCACTGTAGATATTTTAGTGGCAAGAAGAACTGGTACATGTGTCTTAAACTGGTTTTAGTTTATGTCTGTCCTGTCTGATGGGCTTGTAAGTTTGTGTGATGTCCAACCTTCCTCCCTAAGCTAAACTGCTTATTGACAACAGGTGTATGGATGATTCAGATTTTTTTATATATATATATATATATA